GCAATGAGCTCCTTCATCATCACATGTGTGAGCTTTGCAACATCTCTGAGCCATTTCCACCTTCATGGCATATGTTGCTCACACACATGTACATGTGGACTAATCACCTGTGTATCTCACATAAATACAATTAGTCCACCTAGGTTGTCACTTAATTACCAAAACCTCACAAGGACCTTTCTGATTCGCATTCACCCTTCGGCGGCGCGGGCGTTCGGCCGTTCGCGTAGGGTCCTAGGCGTCGGGCGAGCATTCGCATAGACGTGTTACGCGTAGTATACCTAAAGGCTAAAGGGCCTGCAGTACTGAGGGCCTATATACATGGGGTCCTAGGCTGGCCCCCCTCTCGTGGGCCCTAGGCCATCGCACCCCGTGCACCCTTACAGGGCTGGCACTGGTTCTCGGACAAAGTGAACATCAATCTTGATGTGTTTGGTGCGCTGATGCTGCATCAGGTTCATCGAGAGATATACTGCACTGACATTGTCACAATAAATAACAGTGGCACACTGGAGTGGAATATGCAGCTCTTGAAGTAGCTGTCGTAACCAAGTCATTTCGGCAACAGCATTGGCGACAGCGCGATACTCGGCTTTAGCACTGGAACGAGAAAGAGTGGGTTGCCGCTTCGATGACCAAGAGACAAGGTTATCACCAAGAAAGACCGTGTACCCAGAGGTGGAGTGACGAGTGTTAGGACAACCAGCCCAATCCGCATCAGAATAGGCAACCAGAGTCAATGTGGTGGTGCACCAAAGCTGTAAACCGTGATCTAATGTCCCATGTAGATAACAGAGAACACGTTTAATCAAGGCATCGTGTGGCTCTCGCAGATCATGCATATGAAGTCACACCTATTGGACAGCATAAGAAATATCTAGCCGAGTGAAGGTGAGGTACTATAATGCACCAGCCAGACCTCGATAATGAGTCGGATCAGCGACTGGGGATCCCTCCGTAACAGAGACTTTTGCTGATGTATCAACTGGTATCGAACACGGTTTGCAGTGGCGCATGCCTACACGCTCAATAATCTCCAGGATGTAGGAACACTGTGAAACAAAGAAACCATCATCCTGACGAGTGACTGTGAGGCCTAGAAAATAGTACAGAGGACCAAGATCCTTCATAGTGAATTCCTGCTAGAGTGCTGCAATAACCCGGCGGAGAAGCGGTGTGGAGGAGGCCGTCAAAACAATATCATCAACATAGAGAAGCAAGTAGATTGTATCACCGCCGTGTCGATAAATAAATAATGATGTGTCGGACTTGGCACTCACAAAACCCAAGGAGAGAATGTGAGAGGCAAAGCGACTATACTAGGTATGGGGAGCTTGCTTCAGGCCATAGAGAGACTTGTTCAGGCGACAAACAAAATCCGGACAGGTGCTGTCAACAAAACCAGCAGGTTGCACACAATAAACCGTCTCATCAAGGGTGCCATGCAAGAAAGCATTCTTGACATCAAACTGATGAACAAGCCAACCACGAGAGAGATGGTAGCACAGGACTAAAGGTCTCATCAAAATCAACTCCAGGACGATGAGTGAAACCTCAAAGAACCCAACGAGCCTTGTATCGCTTAAGAGAACTATCAGCACGATACTTATGGCGATAAACCCACTTGCCGGTCATAATATTGGCTCTAGAGGGACGAGAACCAACTCCCATGTATTATTGGCGATCAATGCAGAGTGCTCCTCGGTTATTGCCTCTCTCCAGTTCGGATCTGCCAGTGCAGTGCGATAGGAACTGGGCACCAGAGATAAGGCAACAGCATGAAGATTGAATGGAGTCTTTAGTTGACGAAAGCCATGCTTCCCACGTGTCATCATGCTGTGCTCGTTTGCCACTGGTGGAATAAGCACAACACTTGGTGGACGTGCATCGACACCAAACGGAGGTGTGCTAGCCACACTTGCATCATGCTGGGGCGGAGGCACGTGCGGTGGTGCACCCGGCCTAGGGGCATGGGGGATGTTGCTGGAGGACGCCACACCACGCGGAGGCACGTGGGCCGTGCTGGCCGTGCCAGGCCCAAGCTCGTAGGTGTCAGTGGCACTGGAGGACGCGCCGCACCCCAAGGATGCCGCGTCGTCAGGCCAGCAAAGAACCCGTCCCACACCGCTGGCGACAACACAGGGCTGAACGCCAAGAGGGCGGCGTGTCGTGTGGGTTGTGCGAGACAACATCCGGAGTAGCAGGGGTACCTGAAACACGAGACAAGCCAATAGGAATAACAGGTGCAACACAAACTCTGATAGAACGTCAAAGTCGGATGAAGGCGGGGATGAGACCTCGAAGAAGGGAAATGAGGTTTCATCAAAGGTTACGTGACGTGAGATGATGATCCTATTAGTGGAGAGATTAAGACAGCGGTGCCCCTTGTGATCAGAGGGGTACCCAAGGAAAACCTAGGCGGCGGAGCGGGGAGCCAACTTATGATCAACAGTCGTAGAGAGGTTTGGGTAGCATAGACACCCAAAGACGCGAAGGTGGGTATAAGATGGCTGGGTTTCGTGGAGTGCGGCAAAAGGGGTGGCAAGAGCGAGGTCTTGGTGGGGTGGCGATTGAGGAGATAAGTGGTTGTGTGGAGTGCCTCGACCCAATAAGAGGCGGGCATGCTAGCCTGAAAAAGGAGAGAGCGAATAATATTATTGGTGGTGCGAATAATGCGTTCGGCTCTACCATTTTGGGGTGAAGTGTATGGGCAAGACAAACGGAGGGTGGCACCATGAGTAAGAAAGAACGTGCGGGCACTGGAGTTATCAAACTCACGGCCATTGTCGCAATGAACGTTCTTGATGGAGACGCCGAACTGAGTGGAAACATAAGAAAAAAAATGAGTGAGAGTGGTGAATGTGTCAGACTTGAGGCGGAGAGGAAAAGTCCAAAGATAGTGCGAGCAATCATCAAGAATGACTAAATAATATTTGTAACATGAAACGCATCACAATGTATTAAATCAAATTTATGAGCGGCTCGTGAACTAGAAGTAGGAAAAGGGAGACGCACATGGCGACCTAACTGACAAGCATGACACAAATGTTCGGACTCAGTTTTATTACATGAAATGGCGAAGATGACACTAAACGGGAGAGGGTCTCGGAGCCGAGGTGACCAAGACGTCGATGCCAAAGGGTGGAGCTGGTGCCGGCGGCGAGGGTGAGGGGCCGAAAGACCGATGACATTAGCAGGTAGAGCAGCCCAAAACTATTGCACCTGACGATCACGCTCCGGGTTTTGAGGTCCTTCACAGAGAAACTATGGGTCAAATTCAACAGAGCAATTATTTTCAATAGTGAACTGATAAACGGAAATAAGATTTTTAATTAACTGGAGAGAAACAAGAACAATATTTAAGTAATGGAAACCCGGAGTAGTAGGAAAATTAACAGAGCCGGTGCTAGTGACGGGTAGGAGGGAGCCATCACCGACAATAATATTGGATGGAGTGGAAAATGAAGGAGGTTGAGAAACACAAAGATTACTGGAGTTTGAGTCTCAGCACCTGTATCCATATACCATTCAGTCGACGGTGGTGCCATGGTGTTGAAGGACGAGGCCAGGACGTTCGGGTCCCACGAGAAGCCACCTGGATGGGTGAGCAAACCAGGTGAAACAGGAGGACCGGCAAAGCCTGGCGTAGCCACCTGATGTAGAGGCGGCAGCGACCCAGGGAGAGGAGCCAACGGAGGCGGTGGCCCAGGAGCGGGGCGAGCTGTGGTGGCCCAGCTGGGAGGGGCACCTGTCCGGTGAAGAACTCCCGTGGTGGCTGGGCGGACGCGTGGTGAGGGGCACCAGGCGGACCAGCCCAGTACGCCTGGAAGGTGCCGTAGGCAGGCTGCCATCCGGGCGGTGCTGTAGGGTGCCGCGGACCGGAAGGAGCCCACTGACCAGGTGCGCTGGGAAACACCGGACCAGGGCCACCGGTCTTCTTGCCGCCGCCGCCGCGTCGCGTCTGCTTCTTGCCGGAGGTCGCAGCAGCATTGTAGGTAGGTGGAGGATTGGCACGCGGGGCGGAGGCAGCCAGAGCCTGCGCCGGAGCTCCTTGCTTGGCCTTCATGGTGATCTCGGCGAGACGAAGGTCGGAGCGCACCTCAATGAACGTCGGGAACGGCCGTTGGCGCTGGATCAACGCTGCCAGATGAGCGAAGCGGTCGTTGAGACCGCGAAGGACGTTGAGGACGAGGGTGCGGTCGCGGACGGGTTCACCAAGATCAGCAAGCTGATCAGCCATTGCCTTGAGACGGCGGCAGTAGTCGTCGATGGACAGGTCTGCGGAACTCGGCGTCGAGAAGGAGTGCGCGGGTCTCCTTGTTCCCGATGAACTGCTGCTCCAATCCGAGCCAGACGACGCGAGCTGTGGGCGGACCATCCTCGCGGTTCATCACCACCTCAAGGAGTTCAGGGGTGATCGTGCTATAGAGCCACGAGAGCACGGTGCAGTCCATGCGCTTCCACGAGACGTCAGCAGAGCGATAGTCGTCGGAAAGCACGTGGTCAGCGAGCGCATACCGCTCGAGAGTGTTGAGGAAGAGGCCACGCCAGCGGTTGAAGTGCGGTGACGTGAGGTCGAGGACGATGGGCACAAGAGGCTTGATGTTGACGATGGCTGCAGCTTGGGCATGAAGAGCAGCTTGGACGATGTTTATTCGCTTGCTTGCGATGGAAAGGCCGGGACGAAAGGAAGGTCTACGGCTTGTCTGCGCGCCGAGTGCCTAGCATTCAAGCGGCGTCATTTTCTGGTCCTGATGACGAACGTGCCAGGTGCCCGGAGCCCCGGAGGCTAGTGTGATTGGGCCATGTGTTTGATCGAGTGGGCCGGAGGTGCGACTTCGAACTGGCTGCAAGGCCCAACTTGTAAGTAGAACCACGCCTTGGTTTGTTTGGGCCTTGGGCCGAATTGGCAGGCCTTCTCCTCTTCCACTCTTCTTCCTCGCTTCAGCTAGCAGCCGTCCCCAACGAAACCCTCGAGCCGCCACCAGCCAACCCCCATCATGGCGCGCCGCCGCCGCCCACCGCCCTCGCCCCCGCCGCCGCCACCGTCTCCCGCGCCGCCACCGCCTCCGCCGGCGGACCTATCCGAGGAGCTCGTCGAGGAGATCCTCCTCCGCTTCCCGCCCGGCGAACCGGCGAGCCTCCTCAGCGCCGCGCTCGTCTGCAAGCGCTGGCGCCGCCTCGTCTCCGGCCCCGGCTTCCGCCGCTGCTTCGGCGAGTTCCACCGCACCCCGCCGATGCTGGGGATGTTCTGCAACAGAGGCTTCATCAGCGTGTCGCACTTCGTGCCCTCGACCGCGTTCCGCCCGCATCATGCCGAGCGTGGCCACAGGCGCGCTCTGGATGCCCGACACTGCCGTGTCCTCCTCCACGGGAAAGGCATGGACCTCATCGTCTGGGACCCCATCACGGACGAGGAGTGGAAGATGCCCTTTCCCCCGCAGTGCACGGGGTCGTTGTGCTGGGCCGCGGCGATTCTCTGCTCTGCCGCTGGTGCCGGCGGCTGTGATCACGTTGATTGCCACCGTCGACACTTCGTCGTGGTTTTCGTGAACTCTGTTTTGATTGACCCTGGTACAGTGGTGGCATTTATCTAATGCCGCTGCCTGGAGTGAGCCAACCTGCGGTCAGCGACCTGGCTACCTTGTCCAATCCTGGGTGAGGAGTGCACTTGTGTGGAATACGCTCTATTTTGGGAATCGGTCAGAAAGCAGCACAGTTCTCAAGTACAACATGCAATTGCATCAAATGTCGTGGATTCAAGTACCATCTTCATTTCCTCTTTGTCGGCTGTCTGCTCTCAATATGAGTACAAACTCTACATCTGGTCGACGAAGGATGCTGATGAAGTAGATGCTAGATGGGAACAAAACAGAGTCATTAAGCTTAACACACTGCTCCCTGATGATGCCGACTTCACCTTACTTGATGTGGTTGCTCCACGGATGGTCTCGGTACCATTTTCGTGAGCGCGGACAATGTGGCCTACGCAATTGATCTAAAGACCTATAAGGTGAAGAAGGTGTATGAGGGCACAGTCGACACCATTATTCCATACATGAGCTTCTACACCCCAGGTACAGCTTTGCTTAGTTTTTGGTTTTACAATGTTCAGGTTCAATAGGCTCCTCGATATCATATTTATGAAACTGCAATCTTATATCTAACTGGGTTGATCCTACCTGAATGCTTTTTCAATTTATTATGGGCAACCTTTTAAACTAATCAGATATGCCTATGAATTTATTGATCTATGCTGAGCTAAGAAGGTAAATATGTAGCTGGAGTGAAAATTAAAAGTAATTACTTGGGTGACACACTTCATATGCCTTCTGCTTATCTCTAATCATGTTCATACGTAGGCCTCATCTGTCAATGGATGGTGACATCAGTGCTAAACTTAGGGAGGCAGTTACCTTATTGAGTTTGTGCATGTGTTGATGTTAACTGTTGTTGCTGTGAATAATGAAGTAGTTTTATTTTGTTGGCAAGCAATAAGGGTTCATCTAGGGCAAATTTGAGTCCTCCATCGGCTGATTTTCTCAAAATTTGTAAATTTCTGTAGCACTGGAAGCAGACGGTACAGGTGAAGGACCAAGTGCTGGTGGCTCAAGTGCATGAAAAGCTTAAGGTGCTCAGGTGAGGTTCTCGAACAAGGGAAAACCGTGTAGTAGTAGTAATTGTAAGTAGTAGTTTATCTTGAACATTTTAGCTTTATCATTGGTTCTATTAGGCTTGTATGTAAGCTGTAAACCCCTACATTTTCCCACTTGATCTGTGACTATGTGTGCTCGAGCATTCCTGCCTGTGATGAAATCCTAATGCACATATCAATCCTTGTTAAAAGGTGTGGTCTCAAGAAAATGAGCATTATGAAATTATATCATCTCAACTTCATATGTTTATTGTTGTTCCTACATGAATTTATATATTGTGCCTCAACATCTTGTTGCTTCTAAATGATTGGATAACCAGGAACTTGTTAATTTATTTATTGCTGCCATATTTTTGCTTGAGTGGCCAACCTGGTAGAAGTCCAAAGACTCAGAGATAGATTATTCATGGGTGAATCTTGAAACCACAATGCAGTGGCGACAAGACCATGTGACACAATTTAGTTTGTGTGCAGTGCAGGTCGAGTTAGTGTGATTGAGCCATGTGTTCTTGTTGTGTTCCGGTCGTGACTTGAGTATGGCCTATAGGCGATGTAACGCTACGGGGATTAGTTCTCCAGTGCCATAACGGCGATGCATGATTACGCATGCGTTGTTCAGTGTGGGACCGTGGGTTATCTGACACACGGCCGGACAATCAAACAGTACCAGAGGACAAAGGGTGTAGGTGGAAATGGTGGGTGCATGATCACTGATAAGCAGACCTCCAAGTGCAGTCTGCGTGCAGAAACGTATTGTGAACTGTTGCACCAGTTAGCTCCGACTAAAGAAGGTTCGAACGGAAACATCTACCAAGATTTGTGCTGCTTGCCCTTTTATCAGTTCAGTTTATGGACACATCGAATGGAATCTTCTACTTGCAATCCTAAAACTTGAAAATTGCACAGCATATACGTAACCAGTCGCATTATCTTATAGTAGAAATGCATTATCTTATAATAGAAATGCACTATCTTATCTTATAATAGAAATGCTGAATGTTAGACGTTTCCTAGATACCAATTCCCGGTCTTATGAAATTGCCCCAAGCCAGACTTGGATCCAAAAACCAGTAGCTAACAATCTAAATACCAACAAAGAACACTAAAATCTCAAACTCCTAGAACAGAAAGATAGCCAACGGCATCATATAATGTATATACTCATAATACCCTTTGTGCACGCTAATTGTATGAACAAGTGAAGCTTCAGTGTTATGGCAAGACCCAAGCTTCTGAGCTTCAGACTTCCATCCCTAAATCTTACAGTTTTCAATTTAAATTATCAACAAGGAGTTCCAAATCTTACACAAGCGAAGAGCACATTGTGAATTGAACTTTAATTAGTGGAAACATTAGATGCTTTTCCTCGATATTCCTTAGTAATATCTTGGGTCTTATGATTTGAACCAAAGAGGGTTCAGGCTTCAATCCTAAAGCTCACCACTCCAAACTCCTAACCTATGAAAAGGAGTTCCTCTGTCTCGAACTTCCGGATCAGATACAATACAAAGCCATTTCTTGTATCAATAAGGTGCAAGACGCCCCCGAACTTCTCTTAGGTGCAATTGAGGCCTGACACCCATCTATCTTCCTATGAAATCCCACAGGTACTAGTCGCCCATCATGGAGTATTAAGGAGCACGAGAGTGAAGAAATGCAATAAATCTAACAGACTTGCAGAACTGAATCAAGGAGGCATAGTGACAGGATAAGAAAGTTAAGCACTGGTACACTCGACTCTGTTGATCGCTAATATACAACAGAAATTTGGGTTCTCCAAATCCTGAAGATATGTACAAGTACATAATGTTAAATATCTTGTCAAGGCCGATCATCAACAACTCAGTTACCAGGGACCTGTCAGTGTTCTCGGCAGGCATCGCTTCTTTTGTGCATATGGATTGCTGATCTCTTCCAGGACCTGTTGGGAGACAAGTTTTGTGATCAGTTATCCAAATAAGACAACTTTATCATGTGCAAATATATCTACCAGAGGATTTGAAAAGAAAGCCGAAACATGTAAACCTACTGCACACTTGCACAGTAGATGGAATTGAAAAGAAAAAAAACTGAAAAAACAGAACACACACAAAGGTTTGCTAGCCAAACAACTAGGTTACTCTAGTTAATGTGATAACCATAACCTTACCACTTACCAGGATACATGGACGAAACCATGCACTGCTATTTTTAAGAATCAACAAAACATAATAAAGCGTGTGATATACCCAAAGCTTTATGCATTTAAGAAGCTTATGGATATATCAAACCTCCTAGCTGCATAAGGTATTCAAGTTAGTTGGATATTAAAATATTTTCAGGTGAACAAAACAAAAGGTGACCTAAACTCTCGATGACTACACTGGAACATCGTGTAACATATACTCCTACTAAACTAAGAGAAGCAAGAAGCTATAACTAAGGCCAATGTAGACCAACGTTTATTCAGTGTCACAGAACATACCAAACATTATGCAATTTTTGGTACAGCTGACATATGATAAGGAGAGCAATTAACATCTACATTCATGGCATTACGGAATCTCAAAATACACAATGTTTAAAAACTCAAAGTCCACTACACTTGACTGAATGCCATTTTTTTTCCATTTAGCGTGTTCAAGGACAACATAATACTATGGAATTATGAATATGATACTTTTACTAGTTATTAGAAATGCAGTGTTGCGCAAATTTCAGAGAACTACACTTGTGCTCAAAATTATTGTAACGGTAGACAGTACACTTTTGAAGTCATCATAAAGAAGTTACACATATAATTTGTACATATTATCAGACAACTATACTAACTGGCATGAGCTGGTATGTCTGGCATAAAAGTCGATCAGCCTTATCCAGCAGAACCACATATGGATGACATGTGGGTCTCAGTTATCAGTACCTTCCAAATGTGAAATTCTATGATAATGTGAATTGCATGATAATTCATAAGGCTCACAAAAGGCTGCCACCTCTCAGGTACTTGGTATACCTATGGTGTAACAACTGATGCGGTGTTTTTTCCTCTTCAAATACAACAGCTGAGGAGGCTCAGTCCCACCAACTGTACAAGGTATTTCCTTGCAAATAAATGCATTAGTCCCAACTGCTGTTCCTAGGTCCCTTTAAAATGCATATCTTATGGTCTTAAGATCATTTTTTAGTTACAAGTTATCTATCCCCCTTTAAAATGTATAACCGGTCTTGTTCTCCCTGATAGATTCCAGTTAGTAATGAAGTTTGGTTGACTTCGGTCAATTAAGGCAAAAACAGTCTATATACAACTTCCCGGACAAATACTGACCCTATTCGCTGGTTGGTGCTGGTGCTAGTTTGGGCTGGCTGGTGCTGGTTTTTTGTGAGAGGAAAACACTGTTGGCTGGTTGAATAAGCCTGGCTGAAACCAACAAGCAAACAGGGTGACTATTATTTTTCATGGAGTTCATGTTTTTAAAACCTGTAATACAACAGCTACGTCATTTTCTATATGCACGGAAAATCCAACGATAGACAAGCAAACATAAATCCAAGACATCAGTTAAACCAATGTCAGGAAGAATGCATCTATATTGAAACAAAATCAGCATAGCAACCTAGTTTCCATCAGTTCTCCAATTGTATAAGTGAAAAAACACTGAAATTCACTATTCAAAAACAAGAATGCATCCATCTTTAGTGTGCCATGAAAAAGGAACATCAATAATGGAAGTTTAGCACAAAAATCTACCTGGTTTTTCTGCATCTCCATTATTTCTTCCTGCGATTCAAGAAAACAAACAAGATTAGGAAGGTCCAACAATATTGTGCTAATGTCATCCACAGAGAGATGCATATAAAGAATGACAATGATAGGAATTTTGAATGTAGATGCAGCAGGGCAAATAACGTTTACTGAAAGATATATCTACCCCACTCAATAAGGCATAACAATGTTCATAATTG